AAACATTTTTACATGCCAGGTATTTCCCAAACGAATTGACTTTTCTTGCAAATTGCCAAAGTTCCTATACTTACTCAACTTTTTAGCTTTCACTTTTATTATTTTGGTTCTTTTGTCGTCCAATTGTTTTTTTTTTTTTGTCTTTTACAACCCAAAAAAAGGATAAATTCTCAAAGCGCTTCTAATGCAAACTAAACAATTGTATTAGATAAGCAAATGAAATGAAAAAGAAATCAAAACTCAGAAGCCAAGCACTTCTTTTGACGAAAAAGTTTTGCGCTTAGCTCGCTTTTGAATGCCAATGTCAAGGTTGTTGATGCGCATTTACTTTGCAGTTGCCTTCTTAGCTGTTTCCATTTATCTAAATTTGGCAATAAGGCCAAGGGACGAATCGCGGCGGATGCCTTTAAATTTTTTATTACCATTTTTAAGGTAAGCAAAACAGAAATTTTTTTTATTATTATTAAAGGAAAATTGGCTTTGTATGTTATTCCTCTGCGAGTATTTATAAAATCGACTGTGTGGGATTTTCGCTGCCATCAATATGTCTGTGCATTTAGTTCGCATGTGTGTATGTATGTGTGTGCATTATACACGTGCATGTGATAAACAATTAAATTCGATATTTATTTTAAGATATTATACAACATTTTGCATTGCAATTGCGTCAAATTAGTTTACTTAAATAAGTACATATATCTGGCATCGGTTCATCAGGAGAATGGCAAAAGTGCAGCCACATAAATAAATATATTTATGAACTTGAACGGGCACTTTGTGCGCTCAAAATGTTTGTTTAACTGCTTGTTTACTTTGAATTCAAATATTTGGTTTGCATTCTCGGTAAATTTAGTAGTGAAACTTTTTTCAAGGCAATGATGTGTGTAATTGGTGAGGTCGCAGGCGTGCACGGCGGAGTGGTAAGAGTCTCAAGAGCCCTTAGACAGTTGGACTTTTCCTTGGTAACAAAGGGCAATTTTAAATACATACTTATGCCTTCACCCATATGTAGAAGAAGGAATACATGGGTATATCATATGTACATTAGGGTGGTCCTTAAAAATCAAATGTACGATTTTTTTTTTAGTCTCACCCCCTCAATCGGTAATACCGCGGTCACAGATATCACTTTACTTTGCCCCTGTGCGACACACCTTAACCGACTTTAATCGGGACCAAAATTTATATGTGATATCTTCAACTCGAATGTCTCACCTACAGCTGAGTCTATTCTTGGGTCGCCATAGATATCCAACAGTGACCAGTGATGAGCATCACAAATATCCTTTCCTGGCCCAGATGTTTCTAACTACTCTACAAATTATCTCTACCGCAACTTTTTCTCACTCTAATGCACTTACGTACATCTGTTTTACGCGTACTTTTGCTGATTTTTTGTGAGCTTATTTTACTTTCTTATACTAAATAATTCTTTAAATTGCGGTCATGTGCGGGATTCAGATATATTATTTTCATCGTCAAAAATTTTTATTGTCGTGAAAAATAGTTTTACTTCTTATCTAGATTATTTCAAAATTGAGGTTGTACCTACATACATAGTGTCGTAATTCCGGACGCATCCGAAGTAAAAAAAAAAAATATTGTTGCCATTTCGAAATTGCCTGTACATAAGTATCATCTCCCATTAGTTCGATACTCATTTGGTATAAGTTAAACAAATTTATACACACCCAAATAAAATCCAACCTTCCTCCTGGACCATTGATTAATACATCTTCTGATCTGCGAAGCCACATACATAAATATTCAATTACCAGATAGTTTTGTTTAATATATTCAGTATTACACTTAGATTTATTGAATGTATTTATCTTATTAAATCTATGACTAATTTGCGATGAACATATGTGAGGGTGTATATGCTTTTCAGCAATGAATGTATATACATTTGTACATATATATATATGTATGTATGTATGTATGTGGAAATCTCAGACTACAAATTAATATAATAATATGCTCATGAATATTTGCTTATGACAGTCATTGATTTTCAAGTTCATTTACGTAGGCCAAACACCTGAATTCAAGCAATTCAATTTAGCAGAAAATAGAAATGCAAACATTAATATACACGATTATGTATGTACATATGTACATATTATGTACATTAGAGTGGTCCAATAAATCCGATTATTTTTTTAGTATATTCAGTGCTTACGAAAATTTGCGTTCCTTTTGTGCTAAAAAATTAAAGCACATGATATAATTTTTGGCGGCCGCTCAAGTCCATCTTTTTTATTTAAAATTACTCATGCTTCAATCTGCGCGAACAAAATATTAAAAACAATTAAAGAAGTATAAGTTCGTGGGAAACCGAACTTTATATAATAATAAATGGGGCGGTGCCACGCCCAATTCCTAAAAGTGTATATCAGTCTTTATTATTGTTAACAGGTTGCTATAACTATTAACTTGAAGTAAATAATTGTCCCCAGGTTACTGAAATATTGGAGTTTTCGTTTTTCTGAAATTTACCGTTATACGGAAGCGGGTGTAATTTTAGTCCGATTAGAATAATTTTCAACAAATTGCTTTTCCGTACCAAGGTTATTAAGTTCACCGAGTTTGGTAGAAACAGATACATCGGTTACCGAGATACACATTTGTGGTCATAAGGGGGGCGGCGCCACGCCCATTGACCGAAACATTATAATAATCCACTTTTATGCTAAGTTGTTATTGCAATCATCGATTTTAAGTGAATTAGCTTCAGTAGTTACTGATTTATCGCAGTTTTCGCAGTTTCTATAAATTACCGTTATATGGAATGGTTATTGCCCGATTTCAAAAAATTTCAACAGATTTCTTAGCTGGTCACTAAGCAAGGCTCGTTTTGTAAGGATTTGAGAAAGGGCAACTTCGCGCCCATTTTGCAAAATTTTCATAATGGTATTATTTTGATCCAAAATTCTCCTTACATACTAGTTTTCTACAATTTGGATCCAATGTTTATTGAAATATCGTAGTTTTTGCATTTTTCTAAAATACCGTTATATGGGAAGTAGGCGTAGTTACAGTCCGATTTCGCTCATTTTCAATACCCCCCTACGTACCAAATTTCGTTACGATATCACAATTTTTGCTCGAGTTATCACGTACACGGACTGACGGAGAAAATTTTTTTCTATTTTTTTTATATATTTTTTTTTCGTCGTTAGTGCCCATAAATTTGTATGTATGCACATTTCAAACAGACATATTTACATTAGGGTGGTCCAAAAATGCATGAGGGATAAAGTAAAGTCGGAATTTTAATGCACTCACCCACTAGGATTGTTCTATGTTGAAAACATAAACCTCTATTTATACTCTTTTGTTCCACCCTAATGTACATATACATCTGTATATATAAAAAAAGTCTAAAAGGATTACGCACGATATTTAAAAATAGCAAGAAAATTCATTGAATATTTTGCTAATGCATGATTTTAAATTCAATAAAAAAAACTTACAAAAAAATTATTTAGCAAAAATTAAATCAGAAGTTGGCATGACTCAATATGTCGTACAGTGGGAAATTTTCGAAAATTTTTTTGCCAAAAAAGTAAATTTTTTACCGAATTGAATATTTCCTTTTTTAATATACGGAACGGATTTTAGAAAAGATTGCCTAAGCCCGAACTTAAGAAGAGAAATTGATTTTTATCAGCATATGGTGAAAGTCGAAAAATTAAAAAAAACGTCCAACGAAAAAGAGGTATTTTTCCTGGTGCAAATCTCAAATAATAAAAGTGGTAAAAATTTTTGTGGACGTTGAATTCGATCCTGATGATAGATAGGATCGTGAGGTTCAAAACCATTCCAAGTACTTAAAAAATCCTGCACTTTTGAACAAAATTTTACACAGTGCATCTTCCACTCAGATTGTTTTTTCATTCAATTGCTTTGAATAAGAAAACAGTGGTTTTCAGTAGATACA